CATATTTAATATTGAGGTAAAAATGACAAATCCAGAAGAAGTATTAAAGGAGATACTAAACGAAATCGAGAACAGTGATAATTTTAATGAAAATAGTATAATTAAAAAAATAGATAATGTAGCGTCTAATTTGTGTACAACCTCCCATTATGATCTATTAGGTAGCTTATTGATCATAGCAGTTGAAGGGGGCTACGAGAAAATGGCAACGCAGTTAATTGAACTAGGTGCAAATGTTAATTTACATGATAATACTTTGAAAAACTCTCTTCTGCATAGGGCTGTTATTAAAGGACATATAGGAATAGTAGAACTTCTACTAAAAAACGAAGCAAATGCTAACGCAAGAAATCATGATGGAACGTCTCCCCTGCATTATGCTGCTAGATTTGATAAATTAGAGATAGCAATACTTCTATTGAAAAACAGTAAAGCAGAAGTTAACGTAGTGAATAAAGGCGGCATTACACCTTTACATTATGCTGCTGAAAAAAGAAGTGCTGAAATAGTGAAACTCCTATTGGAAAATAAGGCAAATGTTAATGCAAAGAATTTCCAAGATAAAACACCTTTACATCATGCTGCTGAAAAAAGAAGTGTTGAAATAGTAAAACTCCTATTGGAAAATAGGGCAAATATAGATGAAAAAGACCGCTGGGGGAAAACTCCCTTATATTGTGTTTATAAAAACGAAGATATGAGAGCAGTAAAACTTCTTATAGATCATGGGGCAAATCAATTTTTCATCCATCACTCCAGGGCATCAAAGATAGGCTTTCCTGTGGGTATAATAGCTGCTGCTGTAGCTCCATTTATTCTGATGCAAGATGCTCAAATGTCTGCATTAACAATCGCTGGAATTACTACTGCATGTGCATTAATAACTGGTGGCATTATTTATGGGGCAATGTACATGGCATCAAAATTGAACATCAATTGTCAATTAAAAAGCGTTGAAGTTGCAGAACAATATAATAAAGAGAAAGCTATTTAGTATTTTGATTAGCTATGACAACGACTACTTATTTACTTAACTTAATAAAGCGTTAAGAATTTCCCGCTGTTGTTTAACATGAACGTTAGAATAACCACACGCAGGAGATGCAGCTGCAGGCCTTGCAACACATTTAGGCCTTTTAGCTTTGATATCTAAATCAAATAACGCTTTTTCTATCAGTTCATTAACGAAAAACCACCCTCCCATGTTTTTTGGTTCCTCTTGACACCATATTACCTCAGCATTGCTATATTTTCTGAACTCGTGAGCAAGCTTATCGGCTGGAAACGGATAAATTTGTTCGAGTCTTATCACTGCTATATCATTTATTTTTTTAGACTCACACTCTTCAATTATGTCATAGTAAATTTTACCACTACATAATACAACTTTACGTATTTTATCGTCTGTAACCAAACCTTCTCTATGTTCAGGAATTACTGCGAGGAATTTGCTCTCAAAATCGGATAAGCTAGAAACTGCTCTTTTGTGACGCAATAGGGATTTTGGTGTGAGCACTACCAGAGGTTTACGGAAATCCCGGTGAATTTGTCTGCGTAAAACATGAAAGTAGTTTGCAGGAGTAGAACAATTAACTATCTGCATATTATCTTCTGCACATAGCTGCAAAAACCTCTCAATGCGAGCAGAGCTATGCTCTGGACCCTGNGGTAAAAGAAGAACCAGGCCGCTTGAACGCAACCATTTTGTCTCTGCAGATGATATGAACTGGTCGATCATGATCTGTGCACCATTTGCAAAATCACCAAATTGTCCTTCCCAAAGCACTAATGAATATGGTGAATCCAAACTATATCCATATTCAAATCCCATAACGGCGTATTCTGATAAAGGACTATCTATCACCTCAAAATATGCCTGTTTTTCATTGATGTTATTTAGTGGAATAAACACTTCTTCTGTTACTTGATCAACAAGTTTTGCGTGGCGATGTGAAAAAGTTCCTCTACCGGAATCTTGTCCTGATAAACGTATGCCTATACCTTCTACCAATAGAGAGGCAAAAGCGAGGCTTTCTGCTGTTGCCCAATCGATGTTGCTTCCTGTATTAATATTTTCTAACCTGCTATCGAGTATTTTTCTAACCTTGTTATTAATATTGAAATTATTAGGAATACTGCTATTTGTACACATACCCAATTTTTTCAATTCATCTTTGGCAATGCCTGAGTTTGTGTAGTACTCACTTAAATCATTTAACTTTGCTCTTCTCAATTTTGACCACACGCCTTCAAACCAGTCAGCTTTTTTGGGTACAAAATTCATTGACTCAGCAAAACTTTTATCCAATTTTGCTCTGAATTCACTACGTAATTTGCTTGCGTCTTCACTACTTATTACTTTTTCTGCGATTAGTTTTTCCTCATATAGTTTTCCTGGAGTTTTGTGCTTTGATATTAACTTATACATCAATGGTTGAGTAAAATTAGGTTCATCACCTTCGTTATGGCCATATTTCCTATAGCATATTATGTCAATAACTACATCTTTTTTAAATTTTTGTTTGTACTCTAACGCAAGACTTGCAACAAAGCTCACAGCTTCTGGATCATCGCCATTAACATGAAATATCGGTGCTTCTATGAATTTAGCTATGTCAGTACAATAAAAAGAAGATCGTGCGCAGCATGGATTGGCTGTAAAACCGACTTGGTTATTAGTGACAATGTTGATAATTCCGCCTACTTTGTAACCTTCAATGTTACTAAGAGAAAGAGTTTCAGCAACGACACCCTGTCCAATGAAAGCTGCATCACCATGTATTGATATTCCAAGTGCAGCTTTTTTTGCTCTGACTCTTCCAGCTAAAACCGGATTCACTGCTTCTAAGTGCGATGGATTGTAGCATAAACTCAAATGTATTTTTTTGCCATCAGGTAATATTCTGTCAGAAGAGTAGCCGAGGTGATATTTCACATCACCAGAAACGTCAAGGTTAGCAGGATATGAGAGATTACCTTGAAATTCAGAGAACATCGCAGAGTATTCTTTCCCCACTACTTTGGTTAAGACGTTTAAACGTCCACGGTGTGCCATACCAAGAACCACCTCTTCAGTACCAAGAAAAGCAGAATTACTGATGATTTTTTCAATTGCAACAATGGTTGATTCTCCTCCTTCTATAGAAAAACGCTTATATCCTGGAAATTTCATGTGAAGGAACTGTTCAAACATTTCAGATTCAATCAAATGTTGTAGTATATCTCTTTTTTCTTTTTCATCTGGTTTATAGTGTTGATTTTCGATTTTATCCTGCAGCCATGCTCTTTCTTCATGAGAAGAAATATGCATAAATTCGAAACCGATACTTTTGCAGTAAATTTTCCTTAATATAGAAATAAATTCTCCAGTTGTTATTTTTCCTTTGCCAAACAGACCACTCAGATCTACCGATTCATTTAAATCTATATCTTGTAGGTTGGAATACTTATTATAGTCTGCAGGTTGATTTTCATTTGGTGACAAGGGATTTAAATCTGTAAAAAAATGCCCATAGGACCTGAAGAAGTTTGCTAATGTAGAGACTAAATCATCTGCCTTCACATTTTGTGTATTCGAGGAAGCTACTGAGCTGTTACTTTCTATATTACCCGAGAAAATTCTATGCCAATCTTCTCCTATTGATTTATCACCTTGGAGATAGCGCTGATATACCTCTTCAATAAATTCTGCATTGTCACCGTAAAGACAAGAGTTAGTTTTCAAATCTACCATAATCACTACATTAAATCATACGAGTATAGCACAGATTTCTTAAAAAATAACCCTTTTAGTTTTCAGACCTTCTGTTGTTGCTGCTTACTATTTAAAAATTCAGCTCTGGCTTCAATGAATTCAGGTGAAGGTTTTTTTAGTAATTCACTTGTTGCATGATAGGCAGAATATGCTACTGCAACACAAAAGCCTATTGATATGAAAGCTGCACTTACTTTAACTATTTTGTTAGATGTAAATATGGTGTAGGATACAAATAAAGTGCTGCCTAATAAACACATCGTTCCGGAACTCGCATTCATTATTATCTTATAATAGTCTTTAGCACCCATAAACTTTCCTATTTCACTGTTGCTGTTACTAATATAATCTATTGGTTTATTGCCTCGATTGTCTTTTAAATCTGGGCTAGCACCTTTTCTGAGAAGTAATGTTGCAATCTTGACACTGTTTTCATTATTACCATCCCGTGATTCACATAAATAGTGAAGTGATGTTTTATCTTCTTTATCCTTTGCGTTAGAGTTAGCACCATTATTTAAAAGTAGCTCTATAGCTTGATGATCTTGATCTTCAAATGCTTTGAGCAGTAAAGTCCTTTCAAGATCATACATTGTATTAGGATTAGCCTTATGCTCTAAAAGCAGCTTCATACTGTCATAATCTTTCTTTCTATATGCTATTAGCAGTAGAGTTTCACCAGAATGATTCTTTATCTTAAGATCAGCCCCATGCTTTAAAAGTAGCTCCATAGCCTTATGATCTTTACCTTCACATGCTACTAGCAGTGGAGCTTTGCCAAAACACTGTATATTAGGATTAGCCCCATGCTCTAAAAGCAGCTCCATAGCCTTATGATCTTTACCTTCACATGCTACTAGCAGTGGAGCTTTGTCAAAACACTGTATATTAGGATTAGCCACATGCTTTAAAAGTAGCTCCATAGCCTTATGATCTTTACCTTCACATGCTACTAGCAGTGGAGCTTTGCCAAAACACTGTATATTAGGATTAGCCCCATGCTCTAAAAGCAGCTCCATAGCCTTATGATCTTTACCTTCACATGCTACTAGCAGTGGAGCTTTGTCAAAACACTGTATATTAGGATTAGCGCCATTATCTAAAAGTAGTTTTACAAATTCTGTATCTTTTAAATCAATAGCTTGATGTAATGGCAACCTTCCATTTTTCAAGACTTTATTTATATAGTCACCAAACTTACCTTCTTTATTGCTTAAAATTTTAGTAAAAAGAAGTTTTAAAGTATCTAGATTTCTCTCTCTGAAAGCTTCAAGTAAGTAATTTTCCAAATCTTTATTAGATAGAATTTGTTCTAAATTCTTAGCTCTTGGATAATATTTGAAAGAAGTATGAGAATGTCTAGAAAGATCATAAAAAGGATAGTATTTAAATGAGCTAGAATACTGACTTTTTTTATCATTATCCTTGCCAGTCAGTAAATAGTATGCTTTTTGCAGTTGCTGAAATTTTTCTGTATATTCTTTTTTATTCTCTGAATGTTTATCTGGGTGTAGTTTCAATGCCATTCTATGATATGCTTTATTAATCTCTTTTTCGCTGGGATTGGTACCAGGTGTGAATCCTAATATCCTAAGAGCTTCTTCTTTATTCATGAATTTTGTTATTAAAAATATACTTATTATTAATTTAATTTAAAATTTCAATAAAATCAAGCGTGTTAAACGTAACATTAAGTATATTTAGTCTGTTTATCTTTTACAATTTTCCTTCTGATATAGCCTAGTTGATAGGAAGAGGATTGATAACATATAAATCAAATTCCATGTTGCCAAAGAAATACCTAGAATGTAATGAGGTCTGTCGCAGGATGTTGAGTGATTGGGGTTCAATAGATTATTTTTTAGTTCTTCTACACTGACATTTTCACTTACTTGTTCTGTGCATCCAACAATATCATGGAACCAATGACGCTCAAGACCAACGTGGTAAAAAGATATTACTGCCCCTATTATGTAGCTACAGAACATCATACAGATCAAGACTTTGCAATTTTTTAGTAAAGAAACCACTGCAAGTAATGCTGCTGCGTAGAGAGTTATGCGTTCGTATATACATAATTTGCATGGAGCCATACCAAAAAAATATTCTAACACATACGCAATAACCAACGCAATTATGCTAGATGATAGGAAAATTAAAGAAACTTTAGAATTTTTGTTCATAGCAAATACCATTATAAAAACCTATGACATTATAAAATAAAGTATTTATTTTACATNACAGGTACACCATCGGTAAAAAAACTTTTTCTAAGATTATTGATTAAGTAACGTTTATAACTTTCATCAACACTTTCTGGTATGTTGCAAATCAAAGAAAAAGCAGGAGGTTTAGTGCCAATTTGAGCAATGTATTTCATTTTTATTGCTCTACCTTTTACGAGTGGATGTTGGTGCTTGTCTAGAGCTTCTGCGAGCCATTTATTTAATTTTGCAGTACTAATTTTTCTATTTAAAGATTCATTTATTTCAAGACACTTGTCTATCACGTCGCTACAACGCATAT